GTTTTGGGTTGGGGTGCGGGGCATCGCGTGGGGTCGTTCAGGAGTAAATAAGCCCGTATTAGGAGTTGGGCAACGAAAAATGCACCTTACTCTTTACTTTCTCATAATAAGCATGCCTTACATTTTAGTCAAAGTAAAGTAGTCATGTCTTACATTTTAGTCAAAAATAAAGCGGCCATGTCTAACGATCGTAGTTCGTAGAAGTGTACTAACATGTTGATTGGTTGCACTTCCTAGGCTCCCAGCTAATCAGTTGGTAAGAAACCATGGATGCTAGTCTTTCTACAAATGGATTTAAATTGCCCATTTAATATCTAATCCTTATGAAATTTAAACTAACCGAGGTGATACCATATGTCATACACTAGAACTTCTAGACGAGGTTGGGAGAACATTGGAAAATCAGTTATAAATGACATACGTTCATGGCAGTATACGGTATGTCACTTGTTTAGAATGATTGCTAGGGCTAATATACGCCATATATATCATTCGTGAATGAAGTTAGGTCATTGTATCATTTTGCATCTGATGGGGTGCACCCAACAAAGGTCATGTGTATGATTTGGGTTTCGAGGCTTCAAGTACATTGTTCTTCTTCACCATGGACCACCTTCGGTTTAGATTGAGATTTTCCTTGGAAGATGGGCCATAATTAACTAACTAATAATCACATTCTTCAAGCTGTATGGAGGAAAATCACCTTACATTCATCAAGGCAGAAGTCATGGACATCGAGTGATATTTCTTCAAGTGAATTTGGAGCTTAGATTTTAGCAAGTTGTACATATTTACATTCTTAGTACTTAGTATGTTGCCAGGACTGCAAATATAGCCACCGTTGTGCATTCAGTGTCTCAGTGTATGTAATGTTGCAAACCAGGGTGACACTGACATGATTATTATTTTTTGCGAGTGAAAAACTTGTATTACTCAACCAGGAAGTTATTACAATCAGGGAGTTCTAGCTCAACTGTAAATGTCATACACTACAACTTGTAGAGGAGGTTGGGAGAACAATGAAAAATCAGATATAAATGACATACGTTCATGGCAAGTATTTTTTACGGCAGGTCACATGTTTAGAATGATTGCTAAGCCTGATACAAGCGGGCCATATATCATCCGTGAATGAAGTTAGGTTGTATCATTCTGCATACGATGGGATGCACCCAACATAGGTCATGTGAATGATTTGGGTTTCGAAGCTTCAAGCACATTTTTCTTTTTCACCACGGACCACCTTCTATTGAGATTAAGGTTTTGCTTGGAAGATGGGCACGTTGTTCATGTTGTATGGAAGAAAATCACCTTAACAGTTGTAGACATCGAGGCTTAAGTCATGGATATCGAGTGTTATTTCTTCAACGAGTTCTGGAGCTTAGGTGTGAGACCTCGACTTGCGTCTTGTAACGATTGGCTGATACAGATTTACGGCACATGTAATAGATTAACAGGGCTGTATATGTTTACATTCTTACTTTGTATGCTTCCAGGGCTGCAGATTTACCCACGGTTGTGCATCAGTGTATGTAATGTTGCAAACTAAGGTGAAACTGACAGGCTTGGAACATGATGCTCGCCCGCTGAACTAGCTGCCGCTTATTCATCCAGAGCTACTTCTTATACTTGAGTGTAAATCTTAAACTGCAATGCTCCTTGCATCATCTTCACAAAAGTAAAAAAAAATCTCAACATGCATTTCTCCATTGAGTAAAGCCAGGAATTTCTTACAACATTACATAGCAGGCATAATAATTCATGAATCTAAACAACTGTTTTAAAACAGAACCGGCCGGCATATATAATCTATGAATCTGAAGAATGCAGTCCTTCAAAGAAAATTGGAATAAATCTGATAAAGAATGCTCCTGACTTCAGGTTGCATGCAGGAGCAGGACGAAGGCACGTTCTTCCCTAGACCTGTTCATCCGGAGCCGACAGTCTGCGCCTGCAGAGAGGGCACATCTCGCTCGCCTTGAGGGCGAGCAAGAGGCACTCGCCATGGAAGACGTGGGGCCGGAGGCACCCGGGCCACACGGCGATGTCGCTCTTGAGCAGCTCGAAGCAGATGGGGCACCTTTCTGCGACGAACTTCCCTCGCTTTGCCGGCCGCTCGCAGTCCGTGTCCTCGCCGTCGGCGGCCTCAGCTTGCTCCGCGCAAGCGCAGTGCACGTGCACGGGCTCCGGCAGGCGCAACTCCATGCCGACATGGTACCCGGGCCATGGCTCCTCTGCCATGTCCTGCAGCGCGGTGGACACGCCACGCATGCGTTCCTGCGTGTAGTCCTCACGCTGGAGGATGCCGACGTCAGCGATCAGCTTGACACGCGTGGCCTTCAGCGGGATGCCATTTCTACCGTCGCTGGAGAACAACCTGGGCCAAAGGGCCTGGAGGTCGCTGCTCTGGCAGGAGGGGTATATCAGCGGCGCCAGGGACGACCAGGCCCACGGCAGCGAGCACGCCGGCGACGCGGCGGCCGGGACGGCAAACCGGAGATAGTGCAGCTTCGTGCTCCCGCAGACCTCCACGCCGTCGGGGACCGCCGAGAAATGGGTGTAGCGGTAGAGCACCAAGATCTGCTTACCTCCTCCTTGTCCTTGGCTATCAGCGGCCGGTAGATCATCCGGCGGCGGCACCACGGCGGCGACGCTCAGGAGGCCGACCGTGTTCCCCGCGTAGGCGATCCGCCGTCCCGGCCCAAGGAACCGCCCTTCGGGTGCGTACAGCACCCGGCGAACCGGCTGCCCGCTAACGGCGCGCGCCCCGGCCGCTACGTCCCCGTCGATCTTGAGCGGCACTTCGACCTCGCCATCGCTCTCCATCGATCGCTCAGCACCGTCGTGGACCGTGATCGGGTTTCTGGCGGACGGCGCGAGGTGGGGATTGACCATGGTGGCTCTCCCCCTCGCCTTTTATGGACTCGCCTGAATTCCAGAGAGCGGGAAGTGAGTTTGACTCGAAGGAGGAAAGAAACACATGTCGGATTCGGATAGTATTAATGCAAGAGAAAATAGAAAGAAACCAAAACCAAAATAAAATGGCAGAAGTGCTTAATTACCAGTACAGCGCAGCTCGTATTTATTGTCTTTCCTTTCAATTCTTTCCAAGAGAAGCGACTTTCGTCTCTCATTTTTTTCAATGAAAAATCTTCGTCCCTTTAATAACTCCTAAAACAGGGTTTAGATCTTATCGCGGCATAGTTAAACCGGTTTCATCAACACATACACATTTCACATAATGCTATGCGCCCAGCCAAAATGGTATACGCGCGCGCCCGCACCGGACCAAAACGGTGCCGGCTGAAATTTCGGCATTCCATCCCAAACCCTAACAACACTAGCTCTACGAGCGGTAGCCGAGTGGCTTCAACTTCGCGGTGACGGCGCGGCTAGGCCCGGTATGCACGGCATTGCTTTCTTGGAGCTGGCGGTGGTGCCGGCCGAGAGCAACCAAGGTCAACAAACCATCCGTACTACACACATGTCGATGATTTAAAGGTTTGACTTTGTCTCTATCATCATCATCGCATTTAGTCATGATCCTGGTACGGTTCCGTGCCCTAAGTATGTTTTGTGGTACTAGGATATAGACAAGATTGGACCCAAAATAGTGCCTTGAAATTTGTTTTCATTTCAAAGAGAAGTTTGTGTCGGAAGGTGGTCGCTTCCTTAATGTTGGTGGATCTGCGGCGGTTTCAGAAGTAGACCGAGACTTGGCTTCCCTTCCTAAGATTAAAGGTCGTGTAAAGGATGATTAGCTTGGGCAAGAAGATGTAAAATTGTACTGTGTTGTATCATCGGAATGTCTTCAGCGATGATGTTAGATTGTTGTTGAATGAGCATTTGTCGGTTGATGTCCGCCAATATTGTTGAGGCATGTGTTGTTGTCGATTATGTTGAGACTGTTGATGTTCTAACCAAATATTGTTCTTATAAATGACACTACTCATGTTGGTAGTTACTTTGAAGAGGAGTTAGGTACATTTACTGTTGAACCTAGCGAACATGTTTAAAGATGATACAAATATGGCACTAAGCACATTATTCGGAGTTCCAAAGAGCTCATGTAGGAAAAAGCATGAAGACAAGGGCAAGGATGTGCGCATATCTGATGAAGAATATGACAATTTCGATGAGGATTTTCTTCCGCGTAATAAAGACAAATCAGTGAAAGATATTTCATACAAATATGGTGAATATCAAAAATTGAAGAAGTACAACAAGAAGATGAATGCAGGAAAGCTCCAGTTTGATGCGATATTTATAGATAGCACATTTCCTTTGGGGTGACAGTGAGGATAACGAATATAATGACTTTGAGGACTCCACTGATGAGCTAGACATTGATAGGCACATGATGTTGAAGAAGTCAACATGTCCCAGGTTCAAAGGCAATACAAAAGTGCATTGGTTCTCAACAGGAATGAAGTTCTCTTGCAAACAACAATTCGTCCCAACCATGATTTCATATGGTATTTCATAGAAGAGACTACTTAGATTCATTAAGAGCGACAAAGTGAGAATCAGGGTAGTTTGTGATTGGATTCACTATAAGATAAGCATGCGTGCCCAAAAAAGATAACAAATTGGTCACTTAAAAGAGGATTGTTACAAAGTATGAGAAGTTGGTAATCTCCAACCCCACATGGAAAATCGAGAACTTCAAATCACATATGCAGGAAGAAACGTTTGCATTTGTCGACACTTATCAGATCAACAAAGCTAATAAGATGGTGATGGGAAATGGTATTATGAAACAAAGGTGAAATACTCTAGCATTTTATTATTATCAAGAGGTGTTGCTCAAAATTAATCCTAGTAATATAGTGTTAGCTAAGTTGGGACCTTATGAAGAAAAGCCTACTTTCCGGAGGTTTTACCTGTGCTTTGACGCATTGAAGAGATGTTTCATGACAAGTTGTAGAAAATGCATTGGGCTAGATAGTTGGGTTTTTTAAAAGGTGTAACAGATGGAGAGTTGTTGGGTGCCATGAGGGAGAGATGCAAATAACCAATAGTAATTGTGTCATTTTTTTCAAAGATGTTGAGGTTGGCCATGTGGTTGATTGGGTGTTCATCTTAGACCATCAAAAGGGCATTCTTAATGCAGTAAGCAATTGGTCACCTTTGGATGAACATAGGAATTTTACAAGGACATATATGCCAAGTGGAGGAATACTTGCAGAACAGGGAACTAGGTTAAAACTTGTAGCACGAAACTATGTGAAGGCTCTATGTAGACCAAGAAAAAGAGAGAAAGATGGAAAGCCATGAGAAAGCAAAAGGAAGAAGGATGTCTTGAGTTGGTACAATGATCAGGTATAGGAATGCAAAGGAAATGGGCACAATAAAAACTTGTTTGTTAACAAATTAAGCCTTCTGTTTTCATTCAGGTAATGGTCCAAGTCATGGCGAATCACGATTAGTTTCTCCTCAAAGGTAGGGAAAGTTCTTGTAAGTACATTTGCACTCTTCACTTCTTTGCACTCAATAATTACTTGGCAATTGAGATCTCATTATGTAGGACTTGTGCAAGGATCACACCATAACTCAGGCAGATGCCTAGAATCACCAAAGAAGAGGTTATATCCAACCAACATCACAGAAGAAGTGCACAATTTCTAAGTATATATCTTCAGTTTCAACTTTTTTTAACCGACAATTTCAACTATATTAAGAGCATCTTCAGCCACGTACCACCAATTTGTCTCCTCAAACGCCCACGGACGTGCCCGGTTAGTGACTGGGCGTGTCCGTTTTGAGCCCCTTTTTGTCCGTCTGCACGGCCACACTTCTTATTTTCTTCCTCATATGTCCGGTCACATGCATGTGATTGGTGGAGATGAAGAGAGAGAAATAAAAGAATGATTAAAGAAAGAGAAAAGGTGGTCCGGATGGGGCTATATCCAACGTGGCGGACTGAACTGGCGCGCCCGGGCACGTCCACAAGCCCTCATATCCTCCCCATATTTGAGATGGATATGAGGGTTCGCGGACAGACCAGACGTATAGGGATGATATGGTGGGTCCGGTTGGATGACGTTTTTCTTCTCTCTCCTGTCCGGTCACTGACCGGGCGCGTCTGCGGGTGTATGAGAGATCGTTTGAGGCGCCCGACTGTAGATGCTCTAACTTCCTTCTCTTTACTTACATCATTGCAAACTTTAAACTATCACCTACCACCTTGTAGTCTTGTACTAGATCAAACTAGTAAATGGCACGTGCCATGCACGTGTAGAGATAGTTATTAACACACATACATGTGGGTAATTTTAAGTAGTATCATACTCCCTCCGTCCCAAAATATAAGAACGTTTTTAACAGTAGCATAGTGTCAAAAACGTTCTTATATTCTGGGATAAAGGGAGTATTTCACAAAAGAAGTTAAGTAGTATCATGATTTGAACTAATTAATTATTAATTATAAAACTTTGCACGATTTACTAAATATATATGTGTAATACCGAATTTACACAATATAGAATACCATAAGAAAAAGGATACCAGGTTCGTCCTCAAATTTGTCTTAATAAAGTTTGAGTTTAACTTCAGTTCAAAACTGCGATACTTACTATGGCAGAGGAAATATTAGATTGAGCAACGGAGAGAGTATTGTTTGCAAGTTATTTATCGTTAGAAATAAAATAATAATTTAAACATTAATTCTGTCTGTTTTGCAGATCAGAGTTTTTTCACATAATTATTGATAAAAACTAAGAAAACAAGGGTAATAAATATTTGTAAAATAAATTTATAAGAGAAAGTAAAAGCTATTTAAATGTACGTATATTACATTTTCACCGTTTGCCACTTTTTTTAATCTGTTTTAGCTTGTGCGCCTTTACCCAGGCTACACCATCACATGCTTTCTCTCTCTCTCTCGTCATGATGCGTACTTGCTAGTTGCTACTGCTAGTACTTCTCGTGCCACTCTACTCTACACCTGTATGCATCACCGGAGTCTGCTGGAAATGGAAATTTCTGGATAGTGGCTTGGCTACAAAGAACGCAAGGAGAGTCACATGCACATCCTAGAAAGTACTACTACATCTGAGAGTGGCAGACTGGCAGCACAGAGAAATGGCCCAGCAAATCCCTGCAATGTAGGCCATTAGATTGACATATCCAGCGGTTCATATGCAGCCACGTATACCGGTAACACAACCCATTTAATTTGAGCCGTCCGATTAGGAAGATCCAACGGTTCATATGACTTGCTACTCCTATACTATATAGGAGTATAGATAATATGTTGAAGTCAAGTGCTAAGGAAAAGTTAACACAGTCCCAACACCCAGGACTTGGAACATCGACCATGGATATCAGTACAAGAGCACAATTTCCAAAGCAAATTCATCAGTTACTATCAATGTGACTGCTAGCAACGCTAGTGCATCATCTCGTGTCTTAGAACCATAAAAAATGTCAAATAAATATAAGAACATGCCACATATATGCTTTGAAGGTTAAGTTGTTTTATATGTCTAATTATGGTGCTAGAAAATAAGTTAGTTCTGTTTTGAAGTGGTTAACAATTTGCTTTGAGACATTTGTTGTTCAATTTTGTATAAGACTTTATAAACTTGTTTTTGTTAATGTGATCTAATGCAAACTTCATGTTATCATGTTGTTGTGGGATTTAAGTTCATAATTATTGCTTCCATCTGATGTATTCCAAGTTTTCCATAGCTTCCATGTTCTCATTACAACGATCTGATGTGTTCCAAGTTTCTCACGTTATCATGTTGGTTCCAAATTTTATTACAATAATCTGATGTGTTCCAAGTCTTCCATAGCTTCCGAGAACTCGTTGTAAGAAAACTTTACAATAATTATTTCCTTACAATATGATTGGGGTAGAGAGTATGAAAAACTAAATATATTTTTTCCAAAAGATAGAATTTTCTTGTCATGTGTCGTGTCCTCATGCCCAACAACAAAAGGGTTTTTCATGGCAAACATAGACACATTGTTGAAGTAGGATCAACCTTTCTTGCTGGTACTTTTGTGCCTTTAAACTTTTGTGATGAAGCTCGCTTAACTGATGTCCATCTCATCAGTAGGTTGCCTAGTCATGGCGGCATCAATTATGAAACCCCTACGGGATCAAAACAATAACCTATCATTAAAATAATTCGGCGCTGCTACCCCCCAGCAGAAAATCACGCACGACACGGCACACATCCTCCTTTACCAAGGACCGGTGTCATTGATAGAAGAGCACCAATGGCATGTCCGTCCGAGCGCCTTTGTCAGCCCATATGAAACGAATGCTTCCTCAATCGCTTCATCAATCACGGCCGCCATGACTTTTCTCTCCATCCCATCAGTTACACGGTATGCATGCACTCAGCTTCAGCCGATCCTTTCGACGTGAACACGTGTTTGTAGAAATCGGCAACGATATCTCTCATTTCGTTGCCCACAGTGAACCGAGACTCGTCCGGTTTAAGCAGTGCACGTACCATATTCTTACACTTAAAATGAAAAGCCATGTTCCGGAAATACCACGTATTTTGGTCTCCTCACTTTAGCCAATGACGATACATCACCTCTTATCTCTCATAGATTTCATGCAACCGACCCTCCAAATCCTGGACCTCCAGTGAGCACCCGGACACATCCGCTCGCTTTTAATTAGCTTCCTCGAGATCATGCTTCAGCGACTTTATTTGATGACGAATAAGCGAAATACCGTGCGACTCCAGTGCCGCATGCCGCGCGTGACGCTCGCCAGTTTCTCACATATCGCCACTAGCACATCTACTCTCGCACTTGCCTTGCTCCACGCCTCCGTGACCATCGTGTCAAACTGATAGTGCCGTAGCCACATTCTTTTGAACCTAAAATTTTTGCTTCCCGTCAAATGAAGTCGGATGAACAGCAAAATCAAAAAATTCTGGATTTTTTGTATTAAACTTTGACTAATGTTCTAGGATTGTTTTTTGTCAACCCTTCCAAAAATGTTGCAAACTAGGATGACATTGATTGCTTTACGTACACACAAGTATAAAAAGTAAGTAGGCCTCGATGTACAAACCCTAGTCCAGTAATCGAGCATCATGTACAAGTAAAATTCAAAAAAAAAAAGACGCCGTTGCCGGGGATCGAACCCGGGTCACCCGCGTGACAGGCGGGAATACTTACCACTATACTACAACGACCTTGCTGTTATGGATAAGATTCATTATCTTCAGAACAATAAGTTATCTTCTTCCCACAAGACATTCAACCAATGTGTTTGCTCTGCTTGTTGTGCTTCCACCACCAGATTGCTCTCTCTATAGGCTGAAATCGTAGCTGCTGTTTGGAGCGGTCAGCTAGCAGTTTGAAAAGGGGATCAACTCCATTTGTTTTCAAAACTGATTCGCTCCTTCTAAAACAAGGGTAGGTAGAAAGCACTGATTGATGTTAACCGTTCGGCTGTCTGCTTAGCAACGGCGAAACTGAAAGAATTCCTCAAGCATAGCTTTGTTCATTGTGGTTTCAGTTTCGACAATATAAACTGTAATAGAGTGGCGCATTCTTTAGCAAAGATATGGCTGCTTTCAAGTATAGACGAAGATACGTGGCGACCAATTTTGGCTCCGCCCACTTTTGTAGTGCAGTCTTTGTATTTTGCTCCAAAAAAGAGTCAAGAGTGGAGTTAGAAGTTCTACCCCCAACTGTAGATGCCACTCACCATACACACATACAAAAGAATGACACCACAGGCTGCGTATACGCAGTAAACATGTTTCTACCGCATGCGGACACACATACACAGCTTCCAGCTCCAGCTTACAACACCAAGCTCAAGCTTTCTTGGCGTGGGCGCCGGCCTCCGGCAAACACACGATCTGAGGCGCGTGTATAGAGTACACCGTGGCAAACGTGAGGAAAGAGGCGCTGCACGCCGCGAAGACCCTGAACCACACGGACGAGAACAGGGTCAGGTAGATGAAGAAGGCCGTCATGCCGATCACCGCAAGGAAATTCGCGACGCACTTGAGCGTGGACAGGTCTTCTTCGGTTCCTTCATTGGGGAAGTGGCCTTGTGCCAAAAAATCAGACAGGAGCTCGTCCTTCAGTCTGAACCTCTCCGTGAGCCAGCTGGATACTTCGTCCTCTGCTGTTGGTATGTCACAGACCTGGATGATCTTGGTGTGGACGTGGACCTCAGAGGGGTCGATGCCGTACACGTTGTCCATGAACGTCGGGAGCCGATGCTTGTATGCGATCGTGATGTCGTAAACTGCATTGATCAGAAAGCTGTAAGTCAGTGGGAGTGTAAGAAGGAATACTGAAAGTAAATGTTGGAAAGCTGTTCATAGGCAACTACATTATGTAGGTATTTCAAGCAAGTCACACTGCCCAGAATTCATCAGGCTTATGTTTGAGCTCTGCCAGTACAAGACAATTGCACTGAGATTTTAGCAATATCAACAACAGTCAACCTTTTGGGATACCTGGAGCATTAGATGTACTTAAGCCTGGGAATAGTTTGGGCTCAAACTTAAGCTTTAGTTTGGTTTTCCTAGTGGGTTGTTTTGGATTGGTTTAAATGGTCTGGAGCCGTAATGTAATCTGGTCTGGTTTGGATTTCAACAACTATTGGACTGGATTGGATTGGTTTGGACACAGACCAAGCAGTCTCAAAATCGTTTCGATCTTGTACTCTAAATCGGCTATCAGAGTCTACGAACTGCATACAGACCAGCGTCTCTAAAAGAAAAGACATACGAGACCAGCGCTTCAACGGCGGATCGCCGGGTTGTCGTTGCTACTGGAGTTCCGGCCGCCGCGTTTCCCTCCCTCGGCCTCATGGTCTAGCGGCAGCGCACCCCCGCCCCCCACCCTCTCCTTCTCTTTGAACCACTTGGCGGAGGCGGCGACATTAAGCCCTGTCCTTCTCTTTGACCCATGCCTCCGTCCATTAGCTTCATACTAACAACGCAGCAGCTTGTCAACAGTTTCAAACTACGGATTTAATCCAAAAGCGTGGAACGGTTTGGATTGGTTTGGATGGGAAAGACACTTGGCTTGGTTCAGTCTAGATTCTGTACTTCAATATTTGGATTGGATTGGATTGGTTGTTGGAAGGAAAGTCGAGTGGTTTGGGCTGGTTTTAATTTGGATTTGAAACTATTCACAGGCTTAGACGTACTTGGGATGTTGTTTCAGAACTAATAAGACAGGATGGTCTAACTAATAATAATTTGAACAGACCAAAGCAGTCCAGCGTAAAGTGCTAATGTCTGATAAATGCAAAACCCTAACACTCAGAAAATGGCTGCCAGGATCCTAACATTCAGAAAATTCCTTACAAATGCTACAACAAAGAATTGAGGTGATAAACTCCAAAGGAGAGTTATGAAGGGCAGAGACAGATGGTTACCAGCATCCAAGTTACTCCTCAGCTCTTGCAGGCAGCAATTGAAACCCTTTATCTTGGGAAGGAGGACATTTTTCAGAATAGGCAAACCATGCTCTGCCGCATACTCTTGACTTTTGATGCATTTCTTCTCGCTGAGACGTTAGCACAAATCAGCATCCACATTGAGAAAAAAGGAACCAAGTACAGGAAAATAGAAAATCTAGATGCAGAATGCTATTGTGCGAGTAAAAGAGCAATTAATAAGTGCGTCCAATATCTAAATTCATTTTAGAGAATGCGAAATCTGGATCCTGGATTATTTGTCCAACCAAAAAATTAGATCGATGGAATGCTGAAAGGTGAACATTCAACAATATATTCAGCAGACCGGAATGTGTGCCCAAATAAAGCAGCTGATAAATAGAAACATTTAGTAATAAAATGTATGGGAACAGTTCTTACGTATAATCAGTGCCTTCTGGAAAAACTGCAAGCCAAAGGGGATCCTTGGGGTACTTCAGTTGAGAAAGCCTTCTTCGGATTAGTGGTTCGTCAACCTCCCAATTCCGCTCTACTGGAATAAACTCAATAATGTGAAATGCCCAGTTGAAAATAGGCAACTTCATCAAACTTTTCTTGAGGATGTACTTGATAGACTGCAAACGGCCTTTCCTCAATGCAAGATCCCACAGGTACATCCAATCTACCTCAGTTCTGTGGTTAGCAAACAGCAAGACACACTCTTTTGGGGGCACCTTTTCACCAGAGAAAACAAACCTTGTCCTGTTGATCTTCTCAAACAAAAAGGGAAACATGGCTAACCACATCCCAAACAGAAAGCACGTCCACTTTCTGCTGTAATGCACACTGAACAACCGTACGACGAAGGTTGTCACAGGGGCTAGGTAAACCATCATCATGCATGCTGTCACCGGCATAATCACCAAGCACAATACACCACGGCAGCGCCTCCATGCATTCAACGGACGGTGTCTTGGTCCATTGTTAAAACTTGAAAGACCGGGAGGGTCAACACTTTGCACTTGCTTTCCATTCACGTGATTCCCCGGGGAACCAGCTGAACCGTTCATCATGCAGTACCAAAATGTCAACAGTTATTCTTTTCTGAACTTCACATTCCCAGCACCAAAGGAGCCATCTAGAATTTCACCTGCGATGGGAGAAATGAGATCTGCACAGTGTTAATTGAGATCAAGACATAAGCATGCTGAATTGATAATACAAATTAGCGGTTCGCATAATTTATGCAAAAAGTGCACCTATAATTTTGCTGCTCTATGGAAATGTATAATAAAAACTAAGGAAAAATAGCCAAAATAAGGGACTACTAAAGGCCTGACACATGCCTTATGCAGTAACGTTGGGTAATATGTCAGTCTATAAAGCATTAATCCAAGAGAAAGTTAACACAAAAAGATGGTCCCAACTAGCAGTAATTCGTAGATAAATTAGCATATCCAATTTGGAGTTAACAGTGATACCACACCTGACAACCCTAAACAAATGTCAGTATCTACGAGTCTAGAAGCCACAGGGAAACCAGAATGCATGTTTGTATGCCCCTGTAGGTGATGGCAAATGATAAGAAGTCCTTAAACTATGTGGGCAAATACATCCTGAAAGATCCAACCATAAATCTTACAGGCAGACCTAACTGATAGGTTGACACGGATGGTTTTCAGCATGTGAGCCATGAAACCTTGAACAGGGCATTCATGGCAACGATGGAACCCCTAACCAAACTGCACAACAGAGCTATCACGGCAAACATCTGCCTGCCTCTACAAGTCTAGAAGTTGCAGGGAAACCAGAATGCATGTTTCAGCATGTGAGCCATGAAACCTTGAACAGGGCATTCATGGCAACGATGGAACCCCTAACCAAACTGCACAACAGTACTATCACCGCAAACATCTGGCTGCCTCTACAAGTCTAGAAGTTGCAGGGAAACCAGAATGCATGTTTGCATGCAGCTGTTTGTGACGGCAAATGATAAACTAGTACACAAATCCTGAACCTGAAAGACCCGACCACAAAGCTTACACACAGACTTAACTGACAGGTTGATACAGGTGGAATTCAGCATGTCAGGGTCAAATCTTGAGCAGGGCATTCATGGCAACGACCGAATCCCTAACCAGACTGCAAAGCAGAAGTATCACAGGCCAGCGCACACTGTAAGCATAAACTGGAGCAGTCCTAGCAAGCACCAACAGAGAAAATCCGACGAAAATCGACCGGGCATGGAGCAGCATCAGAGACAGCCTGAACGCCGCTGGAGATTTCCCCACCTGTCGCCCTTCCCCTGGCACAAGGACGGCCTGGCGCTGATAAATGCTCGGGGCAGGGGCAGCAAACCGAACTCCACGAGCGATAAATGTGCGCTGGGTCCCCATGGTCAGATCCCGAATTCCCTATAGTGGCAACAAAGCCGCACCCGCACCCACACCCACCAAAAAACTGCATCTGCACGTAAAGGCCAGCAACCCAGCAATGATGGCCGGCCGCCGGGATCCAATCCTTCCCCCCGCCCGCTTCGAACGTCCCGGCAGTCCGGCACCAACCGCCATGGACGCCAATTCGGTGCGAAATGCTGCTGCCGAACCTCAACTATCCATCAGCGCAAGCGCACGGCAAGTGGGGCGGGAAGCTCGTGGTGCTTGGTGGAAGCGGAGGAGATCCGCGCGGATCTGCGGGGGTGGAAGAGGAGCGGCGAGGAGGGAGCTCGTACGTACCGGAGGGGGAGCCGGCGGGGCGGGGGGCTCGCGGTCGCTGCGGGCGGGCGGCCGGCGGCGAATTTGGAGTTGGACTGGGCGTG